TTCCAGACATCCACATCACTTAAGGTAATAATGCAAATTATGTGCCTAATTGGTTCTAAATTTTCACAGACGCCAGGATTGAACATCATTACAGAGTATATAATTGGGTATATATATCCAGGATACCCAATTGCTAATATGTGCTTCAAGGTTTATGGTTACATAAGCATGACACAGGCTGTCACTTTCTTGCAAGACTTCAAACTTGGTCACTACATGAAAATTCCTCCTAGAACAATGTTCATGGCACAGGTTAATTAGTAATTACATGACAGAATTCTCACTTCATGTTACAAATCAACTTTTCATTGCCTAACATTTCATGTTCCTTTCCATACTTAGATTGTTGGCACTTTGATTGCCGGCTTTGTGTACCTTGGCACAGCATGGTGGCTGTTGGAGACCATCTCTGATATATGTGAAACAACAGCCTCCAACAGCGTCTGGACGTGTCCTAGTGACACTGTGTTCTATGATGCTTCTGTCATATGGGGCCTAATAGGGCCTCGCCGGATTTTTGGTGATTTGGGATATTATGAGGCTGTCAACTGGTACTTTCTAGGCGGGGCAATTGCTCCTCTGCTTGTATGGCTGGCCGCTAAGGCATTCCCTCAACAAGAATGGATCAGGCTCATCAACATGCCTGTCATGCTTGGTGCCACTGGAATGATGCCACCAGCTACTGCAGTAAACTACACTGCTTGGATCATTGTAGGCTTTCTATCTGGATTTGTTGTGTACAGATATCGACCAGACTTATGGCAAAAATACAATTATGTTCTTTCCGGGGGCCTGGATGCTGGCCTTGCCTTCATGGGAGTGCTTATATATCTGTGCTTGGGGCTAGAAGACATTAGCTTGAATTGGTGGGGGAATGATCTTGATGGATGTCCATTGGCAAGCTGCCCTACAGCCAAGGGAGTTGTAGTTGAAGGCTGTCCAGTAGTCTACTAGAGATGTTTCAACTTTCAACAATAGAAGATATCAATTTCTTTGACACAAATCAAAATTGCTATGTAATTAATGAACACCCTTTGTTCTCTCTTCACGAATTGGGTAAAAGATGAATTAATAATTGATATTTTTAGTTGTTCATCAGATTAGTCATACAGAGTACCATTTTCTTCTTTTTCTGAAGATCGAAATGCTGAAGTGTCTCACGTTAGAAAGATTAGGGACTTCAAATATGTTGTGCAGATCGGGTTACATCAAATCGCATAATTTAAACTATTGATACTGATAGGTAAGCCACTTAAATTTAAGACTTGATGGTTTCAATTTATGCCAACAATCTAAAATACTTATTTTATATTTAGGTTAAAGAGAATGGAACGAAAGAAAATTATATCTTTTTATTTTATTTTATTTTATGTTATATAAATAAATAATTAAATTAAAAAAAATAAAAAAAAAATTTTTCTCTTCTCCTTTAATTTTTTCTATAACTAAATAAAAAAAAATTTCACCATTTTATTTTTTTTAATTCAAATATAATAATATTAATGTTAATTTTCTTCTCCTAAAAACAAAAAATATTAAATTTAAATTATATATTATGTGATTAAATAAATTAAAAAATAAAAAATAATTGAATTCATAAAACAACCTAAAGGAATAATAATAAAATATTTTAATTTACAATTCACACTAAAAAATCGAGAATTCATATGTGGTCTTCGTCTACAAGTCACTTCTACACAGAGCTAAAAGTCAAAAAGTTGAAGGGGCAAAATGTATTTTCCCCAAACATAATAAATAAAGTAAATAAATTCTCAGGGCAAGCTGCACTGCAAAACCCCAGCAGAGCTCCTCAAGGTCTCTGCAGAATCCTGGGTTCCCTTAAACCTCCGGAATGGCGGCGAAGAAGGAAGACACCATAGCCACAATCAAGTCCTTACGCGCCCAACTTGAGACCCGAATCCAATCCCAACACACCACCCACCTCGACCTCCTTGCCTCCCTCCAGCACCTTGACCCCGACATCATTCCCACCGTTGATCTCTCACTCCGCCTCCTCTCCTCCTTCAACCACCGCCCCTTTTCGCCTACTCCCTCTCTGCCCACACCCAAAAAGATTACTCACCAACACACGGCACCCCAGCTGCCTTCTGACCAGAAACTCGCTCTTTCGAGATCCGACCCGACAGATGCTGAGCAAAGCTTCGCGCTTGATGAGAGCGGGAATCCGTTCGCTGTTGTGAGAGCCATGGTGGCGGACTGTTTGCTGCAGAGAGTGCCGTTCTCGGCTATAGATTCCTCGACGGTACTGAGGAAGATTGAGAATGATGAGAACCTGACTGCTGCGGAGAAGGCGGCGCTGCGCGATGTTGGCGGGGAGTCGGGGGCGATACTGGCGGTGGAGATGGCGTTGAGGTCAATGGAAGACGAAAACGGCGGCATCGAGCTCGACGAGTTCGTGGTTGGTGGAAAGAGCAGAGTCATGGTATTGAACATCGATAGGACCCGGCTGTTACGAGAACAGCCCGAGGAAGCGCAGAATCATAAAAAAGCACGAGTAAATGACGTTTCTGAGAGCGAGAGTTTGAATTGTATCAACCAGAATCAGGGGATGAATAGTGACTGGGTAATGCAGCGGCCTATGAATGAAATGTGGATGGGAGGGGGTGACCCCACGATGATGTACTCACCGGGCGGCCCAATGGGCGGCTCCAGAGGTAGGGGGATGGGGATGATGGGGATGCCGCCGAGAGGGGTAATGGGTAGGTCACCGTTGGGGCCAAATAATCAGCTGATGCCTCCACAAAGGCAGAGGACTGAGGAGGATGATTTGAAGGACTTGGAAGCTTTGTTGAATAAGAAGTCCTTTAGAGAGATGCAGAAGTCTAAGACTGGTGAGGAGATTTTGAACATCATTAACCGCCCGACTGCTAAAGAAACTGCTGTGGCTGCTAAGGTTGGTCTGCAATTCTCTACTTCATTCCTTTTGTACTTGTTTGTTTATGCTTGGGCTGAGTCATTATGGAACTGGTTAAGCTATTATCTGTTTGTACAGCTAAACTGCATCATAGTGCACCATTCTGGTTCTCGCGGTTTTTTCTTTGGAAAGCAAAATTGTTTGAGCTTATTGTTCTCTCTTTGCTTACTGCAAGTCCATTCTACCAGTTATTGATACTGTTAAGTATATTTTGGACCAGTTCAAAAGCAAAGGTGGTTCTCAAGTTAGAGAGTATTGTTCAGCTCTTACGAAGGAGGACTGTAGACGTCAGTCTGGTTCCTTTTTGTCATGTAAGAAGGTGAGTCACTATCACAATATTCTAGCATTTGTTAAAAATTATAGAATGGCCGCTCACTGTACTCCATTGATTAAGTTTAAGCTCCTCTACTCTGGCAATCAACTAGTTTGCACTAAAGACAGTTGCATGTTAATAAATCTTATTGAATTATGAAGCAAAGATTGAATGTTAACTAAGATGATTCCAATGAAAGGACAGAATTGTTAGGTGCTCATGAGTTGATGATATGTCAAGTGGACGTATAAGTAGAAACAATATGTTAATGTCACCAGATAAAGTAACGAAGACAAAGAGCTCACTTATAAGGAATCAGAGAAAACATTTACGTTCTAGGCTTTTCAAACCATTCTAAAGTCATTCCCAACAAGCATATAGTCCCCTTCCCTGCATAAAAAAAGGCAAATTCTGCTGTCTATGGCTCCTTTCCATGTGGCTACTAATTTGGGATTGAACGAATGGTTCAGTTTTTTGATTCATAGAAATGGGTGTTGCTTGTGTCTTATAATTGGCTATGGTTGATATCTTTCATTTAATGACATTTGACTAGCTTTGGGTGAGTTTGCATATTGATTTGATATTCATTATAGCCATGAATTTCTTGTTTGGATGCCTTTGAAGCTCTCAAAATTGAAACTCTTTTCAGGTTCATTTTAAGCGAATAATTGCTCCTCATACTGACATCAGTTTAGGAGACTGTTCATTTCTAGACACTTGCCGTCATATGAAGGTAA